AATTCATGCAGTTCCTCTGCTCAGGGTCTGCTAAAGTCCCCACCACCTGTAGCATCTGGGCCAAACTCCTCTCTCTAGTTTCTCTATCTGACTCACCCTGTCCATATGGCAAGTTAAAGATGCAAAACTTCATCTTCCTTGGTTATTCAACCCCTCACTGAAAAGGGAGTTCTCTTTCTTCTCTCCCTTACATCATCTTCCTTTCTGTAGACCCCTATGAAAATTGCATAGCTCCTGACTGCTCCACCAAACCATAGCTCCTTGGTAAAACCTCCCTCAACTGCTCTAACCCTCACCAGTGCTCTCCTCTGTTTGCATGTTCTGAAGTAGCAGAAAATTTCTACACAGACATTAGTACACACAATTGATTCTACTACCCACCACTATTGAACAGTTGAAATTCCATGACATGCATAATGCTGTTTGTTCCTGCCAGTCAGTGGAAAAGTAGAAGCAAATAAGCAAAAGAATCTCTTCTAGTTCTATAATTCCACTCCTTCATTCATTATATACAAACACAACTTTTATGTATAAGGTTAAAATTAACTCTGGTTTCCAGTTGAGGAAATTTTCCAAAACAAATCACTGTTTTCCAAAGATTCACAGCATTATAATTTCTTGCAATTGAATGTACTCAGTCATGTTAATAATGAACCCCTGTTTCCCATGAAAGCATTGGGGTGTATGTGATTGGTGTACAGTTTAAACTGTTTGACCACTCCAAATCCTCAGATTTAATTTACAAGAATATCCAATTGCAAACTCTCCCCTCAAAATTATATGTCCCCCCAAAAAATCTTTCAGTATTTTTAAAGTTAGAAATAGTTTCGATATTTTGAAAGTTTGATGATTTCTATGCTGAGAGCTAGAAACAATAATAGCTTTCTGCTTTTAACACACTTCAAAAAGCTGCCAAGTGACTGCTCTAATACTTACTTGTAGGTGACTAAAGAAATGCACTGGCATCCCCTGTGACTCAGTGCTCCATTAGCATAAGGAAATTTCTGCCATCTCCCCTCCCTCCAGTATCTTTAATTAAGCAACGACTGTAACTTTACGTATTAAATAGGCAGGTGCGGGCAATTGCAAAGTTGAACCTTTGGCTGAGAAGGGGCAACCGGGTCTGGGAAGGTAAGCAACATACTGGCGTGAAGAGCCAGTGGGTTAAGAATTTGTTGAAATGACCCAAATAAGGTATAACTTTTAAAAATCCAATTGAAAATAAGTGACCAACTAGTTTGGATTTATTCCATAGGCGTGCACCTCCAGTTGCTGCCAGCGGGCTTGGGCACAAAGTAGGAACCCCAGAATTCTCAGCAAGCAGTATTTTAGAGGGGATCACGAACGAGCTGAGCAGTTCTGCCCCCCCACACATGTGGGTCTCTGAGGGCTCACCTTCCCGCCTCTTCTTAAAGGTTGCAGCCCGGAGAAACAGATACCGACTTCCCAGTTTAGAATCCTGCTGCTAGGAGAATCACTAGAAGGGTGGGTTCCGCAGAGTCCGCGGTGGTCCGCGGTCAGGGTATTCCACCGCTCCCACCCCCCAACACACCCTTCTCCCGCACCCTTCAGTTAAAGTTTGCTCGGCATTCGCCTCTCCTTCTCTTCTCAGCCCTGAGGCTGGAGAACCACAGAGGAGTTCCTGGGTCCTTGGAGCACAAACACACCCACCAAAAGAAGAAAGCCCATTAAATCTTCCCTCCTGTGAACCCAGCCCCAGCGACTACCTCTTTGAACTGACCCCCACCGCAGAAGCCCCCCGCGCTGTCTAGGGTGCACTGGGCCCTCCCAAGCACTTTCCCTCCCTCCTGACTGCGCACTTTTGCAGCGCTCTGGGTCTTTGATGTCTCTTTACATTACCGCGGAGCAGCCACACACTTCCCCCCCCCCCCCCCGCCCCCCCCCCCCCCCCCCCCCCCCCCGTCCCCCCCCCCCCCCCCCGTGCGGGGCTTTGTGTAACGGAACTGACATTTGGCCTTGATACCTGTATCTCTTGGTGATAGCAACAAATTTCTAAAATAAATATTATACTTTGATCTCCCCGCACTGCATTTTTAATGGGCGCTCTGAGTGTCACTTCATTGTGAAAAGTTTTTCAGGGGCCCCAAGTGCAAAGAAAGGAGGCTAAAGAGTATCTTTCCCCAAGCCTCCCACTCCTTTCTGAGCCTTCAGGCTGGGGCCTGGAGGTCTGGGGTCCGGGTGGACGTTCATAAAAGGAGGTGAAGCCGAGAACAAGGACTCGGAATATTCAAGAAAAGGCCTACTTTGTACAAAGCACTGTCCTAAATACTTTGCCTATATTACCTCTTTTAAGCTACAGGCGCTCAAGGTGAGCACCGCAATACAATGTAAATACTAATATTTCAGATGTACACCAATGGCCATTTTACAAATTGGGAAATTGAGGCATGAACAGTTTGAATAACTGGGTTGCCTGAGTCAACTAGAAAGTGATGACCAGAGTCCAAACCCTTAACCACCATGCCACTGTTCTCTTTTGCCTGGCTATCCACTGTTGATGGTCTAATTGACTAGTTGGGGACCTCTTGCAGGAAAAGTTCTGCCCTATAACAGCTAAGGAAATAAATTGACTTGTCGTGACTTTTTATTAAACGTAGCAACAACAACAAAACATAAAACTAGTGTCTTTCAGAGTCCTTGACCCAGCCCAGCCCACCTCCCAGGGAAATCCCAGGAATTCAAAGAGCTCAAAGACCCAGCAAGGAAACATGTTAGTGGACCAGGCTGGCACTTCACAAGTGCGATGCAGGTGTGAGTTACCTGGTGCTCTGGACTCTGATTTGAACCTCAAAAGGGCTCCTTCGGGTCCCAGGCTTTGTGGGAGTCTACCTATGACCAGGAATTAGAAAGATCGGCTGGGGCTGGAAGCAAGACACTGTTTCCTCTGGTTCGCGGTGCCCAGAGCACCCGGCAGAGCCGGACCAGGTGGGCAGAGCTGTGCATTCCCTCTTACTTGTTTCCAGGGAGAAAGGAGCGTGTAAAGGGGGTGCATGAGGCCCATTAGTCTTCAGTACAATGTTGCCATTTCGCTGCTGGGCCCAGGGCGAGAAGAAATGTAGCACAGTGGCTTGGTGTTTCGGCACTAAGAGAATGCATCTGGCATCGAAATGCAACCCAGGCGCTTAATCGGAAGCCCGTTGGAGTTGTTGGATGGGGCCTCTCAAGTCAGTACCGACTTCCAGGAGATTCTCGAGAGAACCGCGCTAGCTTGAAGAGAGGAAACTGCATCAGCGAATACGGTGGATAGAGAGCAGGGTTGGCCAAGGCCAGGTGGCCCATTCCGCTGCGTGTGATGTGGGCCACAGCCACCCGCAGATGACCTGGGCGGAGATCACTAGCCCTTCCTTAATCCTTCCAGTGCAGCGAGAACCCTGCGGCGTCCTGTCCGTCTCTTCATCCTCCCGCACCCAGTTTGCCGAGTGAGAACATCCCTTACCGTACCTCCGAGGCAGGACGCCTTGAGTTCCTCCTTGGGAGGAAGAAAGGAGGCCGACCTTGGGGTGCTTGGAGTCCCATGGCCTGCCATCTAGGGTTTGTGGGAACACGTTCTGGTGAGCGTTTGCCCGACGTGGGCAAAGCATCCCGCTCCTGCAGAACTTTTATTTCCTTCCAAAGGTGACAGGAACTATTTTTTATTTACTTTTTTTTCCTGTTAGAGGACTTCCTTCGGATTATTTATGGTTTGTGTAAAAACAGCAAAAGGCTTCCTCGACAGCGCCTGACATTTTTAGAGTAGTTTCATGATTATTCGTCAGTGTGACTTGAGAAAGAGCGCAGTCGCTTGGCAGGACTTTGGAGGATGAAGTTACCAGTATCGCTGGGGACTTTCGGTGGGGCCTAAGAGGTCAGCCCCTCGGCTGACCCTCCATGACATCCAGAGCTGCGTGCGTAGGGAGAGGGGGGCGGCATAGCACCTCCCCCAACAGGGTGTATATTATGGGGTGCTCTGGATGTTCCTACCAAGCTTTGCTTTAAGGATAGCGCGGCGCGGGTGGTTTTTCCCAGACTCCCAGACTCGCTACTTGCAAAAAGTTGCTGTTGCAAGAAAACTTCCAGGTCGCCAGCAGGAACGTAACAAGCACCAATCACTTGTCAGACAGGCGGCCTTGGAGCGTGCGCGCCACCCACCGCCGCCCAAGGCTGCCACTCAGCCCCGCCTCAGGTCACTACTCCGCCCGCGGCTCCTCCCGGGCGAGCACGGGGAGCGGAAGCTCGAGGCCCGCTAGGCGCGGTCAGCCCCACGTCCCGCCCCGCCCCGGGAATTCGCTAGATTACGAGGTGTTGGTCGGCGGCTCAGTGTGCAGTCAGGGTGCGAAGTGTTTAAGTACCCGGCAGAGACGTCTCAAAGTCCCGAGCCTGGAAGTCTAAAGCAGATTTCTCTGAAGATAACAAAGACACTTTGTCACTTTGGAGATGCCTCTGTGCAAATCTTTAATTGCAATGCTGGGGAAGGTGGGGGGGGGAGGGATCCAGTGTCTAGAGCAATCCAAGCGCGGGTCTCCAGGCGGCAAGACCCCCTTTGATCAGGAAAATCCAATTATTTGTGTATATACATTTCCCACATAGTGATTACTTCATTAATTGTCCCGCCTTTATCTCCTCCCTTCCCATCCCCCCTAATAATCAGTTCTTTTATCCAGACCAACAAACACACCATAGGAGCTTTGTGGATTCAAAGGATTTGCTTTCGCTTCTGAAAGAGCCGCTATTCTTTGATGATTGGGTAGCGGCAAACTTCAAAGCCATAAATCTTCCCTCTGACTGGCTGGCGGCCCAGCAAAGTCCTTATCAAATTCTTGGAGGTGATCCTGAAGCGCTCAGACTGCGCGCGGAGCGAGCGAGCCGGGTGCGGGCGGGGAGGGCTGGACGGCGCAGCGTCGGCTCTGGGGAGGGACACTGGGTGGCCGTTCGTCCTCGCCTTCGGGCCTCATGCCTCGGCTGCGCCCAGCTCCGCCGCCAACGGCTCGCGGGCGATAGACATGGCCGCAGTGGCTGTCCTCCGGAACGACTCTCTGCAGGCCTTTCTCCAGGTCAGGACTGGGCTGGAAAGGGGAGGGAAGCGATGGGAAGGGTAGGGGCCGAGCCTCCTCTGGTACTGTGTACCCTGAATCTCAAAGGGAACCCCGCTCGGTGGATGCCACAGGAGTCAGATCTAGGGGTGCTCACGCCAACTTCACACCTAACCTTAGTGTTAGGAGTGTGGCCTTTGGCGGGAGGGGGGGGCGGGAAGGGACCCGTAGATCTGGAGGTTCCGAGGTGTGCGTGTAGTGGAGAAAGGGCCCCAGCTCACCCCGCTGGGCCCTCCTGCTGATTTCAGCCTGAGGCGGGCGGAGGAGGAGTTCGAGAAACGTGGAAACTAGAGCTTAAAAGATGCGAAGGAGGGTGGTTGGGCAGCGGGTGCGTGGGTGTTTCCTTATCCTTTCTGACCGCGGAGCCGGGAGCGGCCCGTCGGATTCCTCTGCCCTCCCACTTTGTGCCTGCTTTCTCCCTGGCTGGCTGGCGTCTCTTCGCACCAAGTTTTAAAAGGAGGTGCTCGCGCGGCCCGCTTTCAGGTAGCGCAGGCACCAAAAGTTTCCCCGGACTGGTGGGTGCCGGCCTGGGACGCGGTGACGGGGAGCAATTGGGGAGGGGCAGCGGTAGAAGAGCTGGCGTGGGGGTGGCTGGCCGGCCGGTGACCGCTCTCGGAGTGCTAACCTTTTGTCTCTTCTCCGCCCTCTCCTGCCGCCGGCCATGCAGGACCGCACCCCCAGCGCCTCCCCGGACCTGGGTAAACACTCGCCCCTGGCGCTGCTAGCCGCCACCTGTAGCCGCATTGGCCAGCCAGGGGCCGCGGCGCCCCCGGACTTCCTGCAGGTGCCCTACGACCCCGCGCTGGGCTCGCCCTCCAGGCTCTTTCACCCTTGGACTGCCGACATGCCGGCTCACTCACCCGGCGCGCTGCCGCCCCCGCACCCCAGCCTGGGGCTGACGCCGCAGAAAACGCACCTGCAGCCGTCCTTTGGGGCGGCGCACGAGTTGCCGCTCACACCTCCTGCCGACCCTTCGTACCCCTACGAGTTCTCACCGGTCAAAATGCTACCCTCGAGCATGGCGGCACTGCCCGCCAGCTGCGCCCCTGCCTACGTGCCCTATGCTGCACAGGCCGCGCTGCCGCCAGGCTACTCCAATCTGCTGCCCCCGCCGCCACCGCCGCCCACGTGCCGCCAGCTCTCCCCCAACCCGGCCCCCGACGACCTCCCGTGGTGGAGCATCCCGCAGGCGGGCACCGCTCCCGGGACCTCCGGAGTTCCGGGGGGCAGTCTCTCCGGGGCCTGTGCCGGGGGTCCCCACGCGCCCCGTTTCCCGGCTTCAGCGGCCGCCGCCGCCGCTGCCGCCCTGCAACGGGGTCTGGTGCTGGGCCCGTCGGACTTCGCGCAGTACCAGAGCCAGATCGCCGCGCTGCTGCAGACCAAGACCCCCCTGGCGGCCACGGCCAGGAGGTGCCGCCGCTGCCGCTGCCCCAACTGCCAGGCGGCGGGCGGCGCCCCGGAGGCAGAGCCGGGCAAGAAGAAGCAGCACGTGTGCCACGTGCCCGGCTGCGGCAAGGTGTACGGCAAGACCTCGCACCTGAAGGCGCACCTGCGCTGGCACACGGGCGAGCGGCCCTTCGTGTGCAACTGGCTCTTCTGCGGCAAGAGCTTCACGCGCTCGGACGAGCTGCAGCGGCACCTGCGGACTCACACTGGCGAGAAGCGCTTCGCCTGCCCCGAGTGTGGCAAGCGCTTCATGCGCAGCGACCACCTTGCCAAACACGTCAAAACGCACCAGAATAAGAAGCTCAAAGTTGCTGAGGCTGGGGTGAAGCGGGAGGACCCGCGGGACCTGTGAGCTGACCGGCTCCTCTTTGGGGAAGTATTAGGGGGAGCCTGTGGGCAGGTGGCTGAACAGGGCAACTTGCTCCTTTTTGCTGCTGGCTTTCCACAGCCGCGCCAGGCTCCCAGCTTCCCTAGTCCAGGCCTCGGACGGACCCTGTGCTCAGGAACAGTGGGGTAGGTAGGGTTGGGACTCTGTATTAAGCAAAGGCATTTTCAAGCTCTAAACCATTCCCACTATCTGGGAGACCTACAGTTTGGGGGGCCACCCTTGGCTGACCTTGTATATAGGAAACACTGCTGAGCTTAAGCGGAAGGACCTTGTAAATCTCGAATAGAGCTCGTGTTTTTGTTTTCTTTTGTTGGTGGTGTTGTTTTTTTACTATGACCGGGACGGACTTTGTACAGGTTATTTAATAGCTTTGTTAAAGAATAATTATAATATTATAACATTAATGAAAATGTTACTTTTGTCCTCAGCTCCGTGCAGACCTACAGCATGAAATGTCTCTGTAAAGCGATGAGCAATTGCAACGTGAAAATAAATATGTTAACTCCGGGGTCACCTTGGGAAGATCCCACTGAGCTGGTCTCATTTAATCTTTTTTTCTTCTGGAAGGCTTTGTAAAGTTGTCAGCCTTCACCGGGAATTTTTAGGTTTGTGTAGGTTGTTGATGTCAGAGGTTTCTTTGGTCTGGACAGCCCTAGGCAAATGTGCTGGGTGCCTACGTGGAGGAAATAGGACAGAGACGGGACAAGATTTTCCCATCACAGCTTGAGCCATGCCATCCTGGGTCTTGACCAGAGACTGTCTGGCGTCTCTTACATACCTGATGCACTTAAACTATACGTTTTTTATGGCGGATTCTGTGACTTTCCACTGAGGGATACTCTCAGGACGGGTCACAAGCCGGCGGCCCTTTTCCCCCTCAGCTGGCTGTATTGCACCTGGAATCTTGCTTGGATCTCAAGTGTCTGTTCATAGATGAGGTCTTTTTGAAAGCTACAGAAAAACTAGAGGGTCCTATGCAGGGTATCTTTGCCTGGGGAAGCAAAGTCTCGTTCCTGGATTGCAGGCCTTTTATGATATATACAACATTGTCTTCCTTATTTTCCTCTTAATTACTTCCTTTTGGGGGTCTTAACAGTCTTGTTTCACCATAGTCAGTCACTAGGTATTTCTGGCTGAGCCTGGAAGTTTACTACATTTTAAACTTTGGGTTTTATTTATTTATTTATATTTAATCACTGACATAGACTAAGATTTACTCAGGGAGGAGCCAGAAATATTCACAGCTGGAAGTGTGGAAATGGTATCTGACTTTTGTCTAAGAACTGAAGTTTTGAAGTTGAAATGTGCTTTTCACCTGGCTTGATTTCTAATGTTTGAGCTTTAGAAACTGAAACCTTAAGATTTGATTTTAGATTAGCAAACATAGGAAAACATTGTAAATTCTAATATGGTAAGCTAGTCTCATCAATGTCAACTTTCAATAGAACTTGCTCACCTATTCATGGTGGTATATATATGTACATATATATACTGATAAGATTTCGCAGTTTACATACAAACTTTATTTTTTGTTTTACACACAAACTGTTACTGTTACTTTTGTTTGAATCAAACTGAAGGGCAAGTTCTTAAAAACTATAAAGGTGTTACTTGAGACTTACAGTAGTAAATAAAACAAACATCCCTGTAATTGAGGTGAAAATATCATTTTTAATCTGGAACTTGGGATAAGACACTAAATAACTATTAGAATCATTGTGGAAATATGCCTTAGAACCAAATTCCTCAGTAGAAATTTTGGAACTGTTTATGACAAATTACAATATAGGTTCTTTGCCTGCTAAGAAATTTGAGGTAAATTTTCAAGAGTGTGGTAGTTTTGCAAGCAATAGTAATAAGAAAGTTGTTTAACAGTAATATATTAATAGACATCTAAATGTGTAATCTTAATCTAAGTCTGGAGTACGAGAATTATTTCTATGAAGAGCTAGAAAATCTTACATTGAACCATGCCTTGGCAAATGACAGGGAAGGAGCAATCCTTGTTAGAGGATGAAAATATCAACAGCATTGAACTCAAATAAGTAGAAGTGATTCTCTCATGGGAGTGAGGAAGTTCCCTTATAACATCTTTGTGATTAGGAAAATATCTGACACAGAAAAATATATGGACATTATCTTAAATTTTTAAGAAACAGAACAAAATCATTTGCTGACAATAACTTTTTTCACTTAACTAAATTTGAGAATCTTAACAATATAGTTGTATCACTGTAAATCTGCATTCCAGTTACTTTAGAAAAAATATATATACCATTATCCAAGCGGAGTCCAGGAAGCCACAGCAATGTGATATTATTTTCCAAATGTAAGAAAACATTTCACAATTATACTGAAAAATAAACTAGTAAGTGCTCAGTAATACAAGTTTGATGATGCAGAAAAGTATTAGATTGTATAAGCTGTTAATATTCAAACTGCTGCTGCATGCTTTGTCTCATAAAATTACGGCCAAGGTACCACTTGAGACTTTATGATTTTTAAATAAGTCAATATGTAAGAAATAATATACACAAGTGTGTAATTAAGCACATGTATCCAAAAATTTAATGAAACTCAAGGTATCAGAAGCAATTACTACTAAATGAAAACAAAAATTCATTTTTTATTTGACAACTATTTTAGTTGCATACAAATACAATAAATAGTGTCATAAGTGAGAAAATTATAAATTAGGGTGAAATCTGATTATTTTTAATTTAACAGTCAATTGATAAATGAAACATTTTGATCAAGAACCTAGAGCTTGGAGAAACTGAATTATCACCAACTTGGGTAAATTGGAATATTGTGTTTCTGAACTTATTAACACTCCATACTTTACTGCTTTTCCCAAGAGAAAATTTTGCACACTTATCTTTAATTAACCACTTGTTTGTAGTAGTTCTGGTAATGAATGACAGTAAATTATTGTAAAGAAAATACAACTGTATTATTCACCTCATTTTTAGTGTTTTCTAAAATTCAGTTAAAATTTAAACTTTATATAAGTAATTGTGTCTTGTTTTAAATTATTTTGCTTTAAATTAGGGAAGACATACCAATTAATAAAATAATCTTGATGAGCATGCCTCTTATAGAAACCTACTTAAAACAATGATATTTGTAGAAAAGGCAGTTTTTCACCCCAATTTATGCTATATTTCTATTTTAATATGGGGTTTTAAATAATCAGTTTAAAACAATGTCTTTGATGTTTCACACTAATTTTGGTTCTGCTGTGAGAGTTTCACAGAATGTTATTATAACAGTATGTAATGTAAATATTTAGTTAGTTCTTTAAGGCTTTAAAATTGCAACCCTATTACTTGAATTATCTCATCATGTTAAATAATGACAAGTTGAGGTAAATCAACAAAATCTCACTGAAGAATATCTGTATTATAAAAATCAAATTCAGTACTCAAACTTTATTTTATAGTGAATGTGTTTATAGTGTCCTAACCTCCCAAACTGAGGTCCAATTAGAACAAGTCATGAAATATCATTGCTGTCGTCATGATGCAGGGGAACTTTTAAAAAGATATGAGACCATCCTTGATATAAGAATGTAAGTAACATAGTCTGATAAACTATCAGAAAAAAATATAGATAAAAATAGGTAGGTTGCTATAAGATAGTATTTAGATTGATACCAAAAAGGAAGGGGTAAAAAGTGTGCCAAAAGTATCTGTTTTATCATCCCGTCACTATAGTGACTAGTGTGGCATTCAATATATGAAAACAGTAAACAGTATATTTTTCTCTGTGGCTTTTTTTTTTTAAGATTTATTTTATTTATGCAAACAAGAGCTGGGGTGTAGGCCAGAAGTGTGGGGGATCAGGGGTGTATGAGAGAATTCACCAGAGATGAGTGGGGAGCAGAACAGGCAAATGTACTGAAATACACTGCTAAGGGGAACAGCAGACAAGACAAGAGAGATCTGCTGTGCCATGTGGGTCAGCTCCCTGGCCAGGGATTGAACTCGTGCTGCAGTAGCTGCAGATTGCTGCATATGCTGAGACTTAACCTCTTGTGTCAATTGCTCCTTCCTTGAGTGTTTTTAATCAAGTACGGGGCCCTCCCTGGTGGCACAACTGGTTAAAACATAGCACTATGAAGTTAACCCCAGCTGCTTCAGCATGAGCCCCATCCTGGGCCAGGGACTTGACCTCTCCTGTCTCACTACTTCTCCCCATGTCAGTGTACTTTGTGGGAGCTACCTGTTCTCCCCACTCTGACTCTGATGAAATCCTCTCACACCCCTGCATCTCTGGCCTGTACCCCCAGGTGTGTATGCATAAATAAATAAATCTTTTAAAAAATAAATAAGTATAGACATTGTAAATAATTTAGTTAATATTCCTTTCTGTGATGCATGAGTGATATCACTCAAGAAAGGTGAAATCAAGCAGCTATGGACCATTAGAACTTTTTGATAATTTTTTCAGTTATTTATCTACTACAACTTTGTATTATCAATCAGATTTGCACCTGATGATTGTAGTATACATTTTTCTGCTGATATTTTGATGACTTCCCTTTCTAGACTTTATATTTTTCTAATCCTGTCTTTAATGGTTATTACTGAAACATAATACCCAGTGGAATATTTCACACTTAATTCATTACTTAGTCCATACATATAAGTTGTGTTTGTTTCTGCAAAAAACATCATAATGTATATTAACTAAAATATTTTGATTGTCTACCTAACATCAAGCTACAATTCCTGATATATAGAAAATCTGCAGCTTTCACTTTTCGAAAAGCTGTGTCAGAATGATGAAAATGCAGTCTGCCTATTATGATAGGGAAGTTTGTTTTACAGCAAAACTAATTTTTTTCATTAGTTGATAAGATTCTTATTTCAAAAAAATATGCTAAAATTTTCTAAACTCTAAAGTATGTAAATGTTCCCTGATTTTTTTTAAAGATTTATTTATTTATGCATACAGACCTG